CAAATGTTTTTTGTAGCTTTGGATAAAGATAGAACCCTGGTCAGGTATTTATTGCCATGTCCCCACTGGGAAGAGTTTGCCCAGATGACCGCTGTCACCATTACAGAGATTTTCCACAGGCAAAACCTCTTCTGGTGACAACTGTCTAAGAGGGGAATATGAAGACATCTTAAAACTTCATGCTAGGTCACTAGGACAAGAAGTGAAGGGAATTCTCCCCAACTAGACAAAAAAACTAAACCCAACTGTGTACTATTCCCTACTGTACCCAAAACTATACATGTTTGGCCTTTGTCCATGCATGGTTAAAAAAACAAAAAAAGACAAAACAGATTTGAATTCACGCTCTCCTACTCAGTAGCATATACTCCCCTTTCCTTTCCAGAGAAGGCCTCGTGCATACAGGTTCCAGCTTGTACAAGAACAGTCTGCACAGCAAGCATTTAGAAAACATTCACAAAAAAGCCTTCAGGGCAGTCTGTGGATGTTAAAGGAGAACTATGAGGCGAGTGCTTTAAAAAGGAGAACTATGAGGCGAGTGCTTTTCACTCACCTCATAGTTCTAGCTGAGCTGTGACAATGAGACTGTCACAGGTCGGCTCAGTAGATGGGGAAGTGAGCGAACACATACCGGCGTTCGCTCACCTCTTGATCCTGTCTGGGGGGGGGGGGGGGGGGGGGGGATACCCCCACACTGCAAGGGTTAACATCTAGAGGAGCTGTGTAAAGGACTTTTACTTACCTGATCCTCACTCCCCTGGCAGTAGGTGCACCTCTCAGCTCCGGTTTGTAGACTGTCCCCATGGCATCCTCATGTATAATGCAGTCTCCCTGCATTTAACAGGATGTCAGCAGCCTCCTACCACCAAAACGGAGCGGGGGAAAAGGATGCAGGCGTCGGTTTTGGAGCCTGCAGGAGTGTGGATCAGGCAAGTAAAAGTCCTTTACAGAACTACCCTGGCCAAAACTGAGCAGTTAACCCTTATAGTGCAGGAGCAGCCCACTGCAAGGGTAGTTTTTTGTTTTTTTTAACCTGTAGATAGGCTTTAAGCAAAAAACATAACCAGAGTGTTGGCTGACACTTCAAACAAGCTGGTACCATGCTTTTCAAGTAGGCTTTCATCGAGTTTCAAGTAGTGTTGAAGTTTTTTGAAAGCCAGCTTGTTTAAAGCGAACACCAACCCACTCATTTCTGAATTAAGGTCAACTTAAACTAGAGCTGAAGGTTGCTTTACAAGCATCAAGAAAGCTTTGTGAAGCCGACTAAAAGTTGGGTGCTGAAGCCTGTGTTAAAGTGACATTAAACCCTCAGATTTTGTAACATAAAACAATACTGTAATGTGCGCCTTACTGTAATCCATGGTTGTTTCCCCTCTCTTTGCTGCTCTTACTTTTAATTCTGTATCTGTTCTCATGCTGGGAAGAACTTCTGTTTTGCAGCAGACTGCCTTGTCTCAGGAATGGATACCCGGTGTCGGTGTATTAGTTTCTATAGGTTTGTAACCTGAGCCAGCACTACAGGAAGAGGCCCTGAGCTGAAAAGGGAAGTTCTACCCAAGCATGAGAAGAGATGAGGATTTAAAAAGGAAGAGCAGCAAAGAGAAGGGAAACTACCATGGATTACAGTAAGGCACACATTACAGTATTGGTTTATGTTAAAAAATCTGAGGGTTTAACGTCACTTTAAAGTCTATGTAGAGTCCAACAAACTGATCTTATAAGCTCCATTTTGCTCTGGTAAATCTACAACTGAAATAGTGGTTATATCTCAAATATATGGGGGGAAAAAAAATCAAATCTCTAAATCATTTTAATATTCAGAGCTGTGCACACTTTTTTCTGTAAGGGCCAAGATAAGCTCTTACTGTTCTTATGTTGGAACTACGGAGCAATTAGCTTATGCTGTGGTGTATAGGATAGGGGTGGCCTTTAGTAGTTTTGTAAATAATAATAATAATAATAATAAAAAAAAAAAAAAACACTGACACCACTTAATCCACAAAAAAAGCATTGTGTTGTCAGCCTACAACAGGACCTAGGAGTTGAGCTAATTTCTGGCAGATCAAAACAAGTATTTTTCTGTACTGGCAGGGTCTTTAAATAAATAAATGTGCACTCTAAAGAATTGCAACCGCGATCAGTAGATTGGGAGTGCAAGGCTCTGGCTCCTGCAGACTTTTACGCCCTTCGAATTCGGTACCGAGGAATGGACATTTAGTAACAGAGACAGGAGTGTCAATGGGCTACAAGTGTGGTCCATTTAGAACTAGAAGTCCCTCTGCCATGGTGGCAAACAGGACCTTTAGTTTTTCCATTCACAGATCCTGTTAAAATTTTAAAAAACCGCAGCCCATGGAAAGAGAAACTCTGCAATTCAGGTAAGTCAGGGCAGGATAGGGGTGGCGATATTCCATTTCCTGTTACACTATGTATATGCTGGTAACATGAAACATGGTTTTGAAGGTTTTCAAGCCCTAAAACAACATGCCAAGAGAAAAATAGAGGGGACTGCCATTGCAGACCTTCTAAAAATGCTTGTTGTCTGACTGTTCCAAGGAGCCGACATCAAAACCTTCTGATTCACTAACTTGTATCACCTTGGCCACTGTTCAGTGTTTTGGCGCAAGCAAAAAAATGCCTGTCGCTGGAAAAAGTACGGGAGCTAATTTTAGGCAGATTATGGAGCCATTTGATCCCGTAGACTTCAATGGGAAACTTTGTGCGAAAAAACACTCAGGTGTGAACAGGGACCATAGAAATGAATGAGATTCCTTGTCTTGAGCATTTTGTCCAGGTCCAATGCCCAGGTGTCAATGGAATCTTAGAGTAAAGTCACAGGTTCTTAATGGCATACTCTGCCCAGGTCCATGACCAACAGTACTGTAGGCCATAAAGTTACAATGGCAAGTTTAACTAGCAAGTTCAGATAAAGCAAAAGATACACTATATAGTTTAAGAAGTACATATTTTATATAAAAAGAACAGGGAGCAATAAAAGCTGCTTTGTGTGCCCCTCTATCTGCTAGCAGTAAACACCCGGTAACGGGTGTGTGCATTTAGCGGGTCTTTTCTGCCCGTGCGTGCCCGCTAGGGGGCGCGCGCGAGCAGAAAAAAATTGCCGTCTGGAGACGGCAACCCGCAGATGCTGCAGTGCCGTCCGTCCGTTTTTTTACTACGGGCGGACGGCAAGAGGTTAAAGTAACCAAACAGCATACTTAAAACCCAACTGTTCTTAAAACGTTGTACTCAAAGGCTTGCGACAGTAGATAAATAATGCTTACATTGAGCCAGCCTGCACTGATGAACAGTACAGTTTCTATACAACTCCACAATCCTCAAGAAGCAGACAGCCCTGCATACACTTTGCTATTTAATGCCCATATCCTAGCCTTGAAAAGACTCTACACAGCTAATGGTGGGAAGTAGAATGCATATCTAGAAGATTGGGTTATACAAGTAGGACAAGTAGGATATAGTTAGAGCCTGGGCACACCAAATAAACATATGTGAAGCCTTCACTGTTCTCAGGCCCGGCAAGAGACATGCTGCACTCTAAACTGTACAGTTCAGACTGAACACAAGCTGAATGCAAACAAACAAAGCAGAGATTACACTGTTCCCTATCAATTCTCAAAGCATTTTAATGGAAAAGGCAGATTAAGGAGTTACATTTGCAGAATTGGTTTGGTGTCCCTAGCTAAGCTAATGCATTTAGAGAACACAGTTATGCTTTAACATTTACAACTAACGATCCAGTCTAGCACTGAAAATCAAGCCTCTGTTGGTAACCTAAAAGACTGGTACATCTTTGTTCTTACTCCTTTGGGAGTTACAGGGTTGGGGGCATAAATGCTACCTCAAATTCAGCAATGCTTTCAGACGAGTGGTGACATGACCATAAAGAATAGGCTGCAAGCATCTTCCTACAATGGGGTACTAAAGGAGTGGATCATGTTCACTCTACAGCAAAGTGAATGAGAGGAAGGTGATGAAACTTTACTTTGCAAAGAATACCCCTTCATGTGCACGGAAAATGGGGAAAATTCAGGATTTCTCTTGCACAAGTGTGACTGAAGTCAGCACAGCTTCACCCCAGTCACTAGGCTAAGTGACAATTCCCATAGTCACAGTGCTTAGTAACCAGCTATACTCCTTTAGTAAATCAATCCGGTTGTCTCCTTTGTGCAATGCCCACACAGGTTTCTTCCATTTCACCATTAAAGCTAGCCATACACTTTTAGATTTTCCCTCATTGGCCCACAGGCTGAACAAGAGAAAAATCATTCAATTACCCCACCCACACTTAACAGCATGGAGAAATCTCCACTATG